CAACTTGAACCATACATTCAAGTGTATGTTAACCCTAACACCTCCTATTTTAGTAAGCCTTTTCACTATCTGTGTGTACTGCTGTTGTTGTTAGCTGCTGTCTAGTTGGCCCTTGACTCATGGCAGCCCCATGCACAATGGAACAAACTACTGCCATTGCAGATTGGACTTGAGCGATCCATAGAGTTTTCATCAGTTGAGATCTTAAAGCTGATTTCTACACCTTTTCCCCAGTTCATTTTAATCTGGATGCTCCACTGGTACCTGTTCAGCTTCACAGCAACACGAAAAGCTCCTGTGACAGACAGGTGTTGGCGGTGCCGGGGTGCATTGGCTAGGAGCTGAACCTGGGTCTCCAGCATGAGCGTGAGCATCCACGTGAAGGACTGCCTAAAAGGTCCCACTCTGTGCCATCTCATCGTCTCATCAGATCATTTTAATATTGCAGTGTACACAGCACAGGGTGCTCATTCCCTAGCGGCAGATGGACAGGCCAAGGCTCAGCCAGCTGAAAAACTGGCCCATGCTCAGAGTGATTTCGGAATTGACTTTTGAGTCCAGCGGTCTTCTCACTAAACCACTCGGGTCTCTAAGCCTTCTGTTTAAACATAACTAAACCCCAAAGAAATAGAAATGTAAGGTTTATTCTGAGCAATTATTGTATATGTATCTAAAACCACCCTTCTGATTCCAAAGAGGTGTACATATCATAAAGTAGATTTCTTAGATTGAAGGTTGTAAAAGGAGTAGGAATAGAAGATCAACCATTGGGTAATCTTAACATGACTGACTAGGTCCGTTGGCCCTTCCTTTTTACTGAAATCAGCTGATATTGGGTCACCAGGCTGTTTCTGGTCCCCACAGCAGCTGACCTTTTGAAATTTAAATTAAGTAAGCCTGACTTCAAACCAGAAAGAAATGAGCTATTTGGGGTGAAAAAAACACCTAACAAACCAAAAACCAAAACCCTGGCAGGATTAATTTGGGATCAGGAATTTTTACAGTTAATATTTGGTTTTGTGGGTAAGAAACACGCTAAAATCAAAGTAAGGTGTCTGTTGTGAATTTTTCTCCTTGACACTTCCAAGACACGCATCCAGTAGCCCGCCTCACCGGAAGTGCTGTACCATCCGTTCACTTCCGTTCAGCTCTCTAAATTTAAAGTCTGGCGTTCCACAATTCCAACTCCTTCCTTCCATGGATTTGAAAAGTCTTGGCCTCTGTCTCGTAGTTTCGATCTTGTAGACCAGAGAGTCACCAGGATTCCTGAAAATTGGCCTTCCCCCATGCCAATGGATCCAGTATTCTCCAGCGCGCTCTTAGCTTCTGAAGATTATTGAAACGAATACACCACCTCCCACTATTTCCAATCACCATCCCTTCCGCTTGGTGTCTTGGGATTTGCCTTTCAACGCCACAATTAAAATTGCTTGATACAACTTGTTATGTTGTAAGACAGGAACAAAACACCAACAAAAGTGGAGGTTTGGTTCCTTTAACAATGGTCTTTGTTTCTCCCATTTACCCACTGCCCCTTTTATTTTCAGAGTTAAAGGGAGCTAGGAGGCAGTGTTGCTAGGGGTTACAGGAAGGTCGTGAATGGGGGCGTGGTACAGCTGAGGGTGGAAATCTGAGTGACCCCTCTGTGGGGTTACTTCATCTGGGGTGCTTGGCTGATTATGTTCCTCTCTTGGTAATATTAATATGCAGTCATGACTATTCGAGCTCTCATAGACCCTCAATGCTTTCCTGTAGGACACACCACTCCTTTTCTGTACACTTGCAGATGGTTTTAGCATCAATGAACACAGCTTCCCTCTGCCTGCCTTCCTCCCCCTTTGGATGAATTTATTTAGCTCTCATCTCAGATCATTTACAGAGGTGAATTTGTATGCATAACATTTAATAAATATTTCTGCTTTACAATCTCCACACACAGCAATCCATACTTAGAAACATTTATACCGCATCACTGCCCTGGAACTAGTTTTACAGCTAGTGAAAAACAAGACCTCTGAAAAATCGATTTGGATTCACAGCAAGCCCATAGGACAGAGTAGAACGGCCCCATAGGGTTTTCTAGGTTATTAGCTTTGTGGGAGAAGACTGCTGAGTCTTTCTCCAGAGGAGCCTTTGGGTAGGTTTGCTAGTTACATAATACACAAATCCCCTCAAATAGAAATCCTTGCAGGTGCTTGCATTCCAGTCTTGCTACTTTCAAAAGTCCCTGTGTAGTCTTCCTTGGTACTCGATTTCATTAGTAACCTATAACTAAATGGAACAGTGAAAGGGCACCACTCTCGGGCAAGTCTGGTACATCAGGGCACTAGCCAGGATTGGCTGGTGGCGCTGGTGTCCATTTGACAGGAGACAGGATTAAACTGGTGTCAGAAAAAGGCAGAGACAGAGCAGATTACAAAAAGCAGACTCTTCCGTCCAGACCTAAAATCTGATCTGACAGCCCCAGCTCCCTAGGAACCCATCTTTCATGGAAGAGTGAATTCCTGAAATTCTAGGCCATACATCCTAACAGTGATCTGTCATCCCCTGGTCTATGCAAAAGAAATATCTCTCCCAGGCTGGGGTGGAGCAGGTGAGAAAACAAGGGGTGGGAAGTCACTGAGGTGATTGATTTTGGCCACCACCAAGTGGTGTGAAAGGAGGAAGTAAAACAAAAATTACTCACAGTAACTTTGAGGTCTTCCCGACAAGCAGTCAGGGGTGTTAACAGTGAGAATTCTTTGCTGGGAACTGCTCTGAGCACCCTGCTTGATCTTCCCAAGAGGGAGTGTTTGGGGGCAGGAGAACAGCTGGTGGGCGGTGGGGTAATCACCCTCACAGCCAGGTGTTCATAAAACTTTAATAGCAACTCCACAGAGCTTCATCCGATAGCCCTGTTGTTGTCAAGTTAGGTCCTGTCTAATTGGTTCCAACTCATGGCAACCCTCTGTACAATATGAGTACAGCAAAACACTGCCTGGTCCTGCCTCCTCCTCAGAGTCATGGCTGGGTTTGGGTCCATTGTTACAGCTAGTGTGTCAGTCCATTTGGATGAGTGTCTTCCTCCTTTCCATAGTCCCTGGAGAAGGACATCATCATGCTTGGTTGGAAGTATCGTGGGTTCAGTTCCAGACCACTGCGATCAAGCAAATAATAGAGTCATAGGAATATTTTGCTTTCCTAGTACATATATAAGTAATGTTTACACTATACTGCTGTCTACTATGTTTGAAATATTGTGAGAATTACCAAAATATGACAGAGACACAGAGTGAGTACGTGCTGTTGGAAAAATGGTGCCAAGAGACTTGCTTTATGTAAGGCTTGCATACACCTTCAATTTGTAAAAAAAACACCCTATCTGCTAAGTGAAATATAATAAAACGAGGTATGCCTGTACTTCACCAAGTGTGATATCTTTCTCCAGGGACTGGTTCTTCCTGATGTCCAAAATACATGAGATGAACTCTCATCATCCTCTCTTCACTTCTTCCAAGACTGATTTGCTCATCCTTCTGGCAGCCTGTAGTACAAGTATTTTCAATATTCTTCACCAACACCGTACTTCAGATGCATCGATTTTTCTTCAGTCTTCCTCATTCATTGTCCAAATCCAGCCCTCCTCATTTCCACTTTTAAATCAACAGACTTCCTTTTAAGAAGAGGAAAAACTAAGTAGTGGCCTATTTCTCACTTGTACAGTGGGGGATGGGGATGCTAGCTTGAGGCGTTGGAGAGGGGAGGCATGTATGGGCTTGTGAGGAGACCCTCCCTACCTGAGGAGATTGGTTCTACCTTTGTTGAAAGGAGAGCCTGAAAGTAGTAAGAAATGACAGGAAAAGGTAAAATGGCTGTATTTTTATAATTTATGGGAGACTAGGTACAGAAGGAAGGGGCTCTCTGTTGGGCTCCACCATCACTTCCCTGCGATCCTGTGGTCATAATAGTTACTGAGTGGATATCAGGCCCCAGTGGCCTCAATAGCAGACACGACCTTTGAGAGCCTGAGAGGAAAAGGAAGGACCTGGTAAGGATCATGAGGTGGCCAAGACAGCTTCTTTGGCATACACAGGAACAGTGGAAGAAAGATTTGGCTCTAAGAGACTAGTGAACAACATAAATGCTATCTGCTCACAAGACAAGGCTAGCTTGGACCTTAGGCTCTAATACCTGGGAAACATGGCAACATAACTTTTTTTTTTAAGTTATTATTGTGAATTTAGTGATAATTTACATAGGAAAACATCAGTTTTACACTCATCATTTCATTGCAATGATTGCAATCTCCTCCATGCCTCATCATTCAAGAGTATTTGCTTCTATTCCCTCTATTTTTTGGGGTGTGTGTGGTTTGGATGTACACAAAAACACTCAGGAATATATAATCATTTAAACAACCAAAGGGCACATTCTGCAAGCCTGCCTCCTGGCCACCAGCACACAGCCTTTCTCTTTCCATGAGTCTAGGAGTCCTCAGCTGCTCTATCTCTCCAAGACCTCATATCTACCTCCATCTCTGGTGTTGTTGCTTCTCTGGACAGGGTCCCATATTCCACTCATGCTCTTCTCCTTTGATGGCCTAGGGTCCTCTGTTCCTAGACTGTAAGATTAACTACTCCCTCTCTTTTGTTACAAAACTTCTACCTTTACAAGGCAACATAACTTTTTAAAAATATATATTTTATTGTGAATTATGTGATAGTTTACATGGGAGAACATTAGCTTTACATTCATCCTATTGTATATTGTTTCATTGCCACGGTTACAATCCCTTCCATGCATCATCAACCAACCAAAGGGTATACCCTGCAAGCCTGCCCCCTCCGGTTGTCAGCACACAGCCCCTCTCCCTCTCTGGGTATAAAGTCCCCAGCCGCTCCATCTCTCCATGTCATCATCTCTGCAATGTAACATTTTTTTTTTTTTTTTTTTGGAGAAGGAGCCAATGCTAGTCTTTACTGAAACGACGAAAAATGTTCAGAATGAGTTGGTGCAGGGGCTCAGTGAGCTAACTGATGAGGCACCAGCTTGCAATGGGTTCCACAGTTAGGGCACTGCTGGGCATCACCTTTGTGCAGCCCAAACCAGATAACAGCACTGTTGTCTTCTTCACAGATGCAGCCCACAATTCGCTTGTTGGTGATGGCGGGGACTAAATTAGGGTTGTCCTTGATGCCTGCTGCTGCCTTTGGAGCAAGCATATTGTATGGATCCTGCTCTTTCCATGCAGCCATCATGACCTCCCTCTCCATTCCGGTGGCCTGTTCATCGTCAGTAGGGACACCACCTCCAGACGCCATCGAGCGCACTGTGGTGACCCCATTGGGACAGCGGGTTCTTAAGGCCTGAGTGGCCAAAGCTCCAACTCCGCGAAGTAACCTTGAAGCCATAATGTTCGCGACAAGCAGCAACACTTCCGGGAAGAGGATTCAAAGACCAAGGGAACATAACTTTTAAAAGGAGAAATCATCAACTTGAGCCCCACTGCCAAGGACAGATCACTGAAGGGTTTCGGACTAGTAACCAGGTCAAACCAAGGAAGCAACATCTGAGGTACTCAGTGCCTTCACAGGAAGTTAAGGTCCAGCTGCAGGGCCAAGGTCACACAAACACAAAAAGTTCAGGGGGTTCTGATCTGACTGCTCCTTTACCCCCATTTCCACCAATCTGTATTGTCTGCAAGTTTTTACTCCAGGTCTGAGCTGGCTCTCCCTCTTCTATAAGGGATTGCAGATTCTCTATCCAGGACAACAGTGACAATAACAAACATTTCCCCAGTGGGCTCTTCAACTTCTCTCCCTACAGAAATTCATTCTCAGGACAGATTAACCTCTAGCTTCTTCACCAATGGGTCAAAACTTCTTCCACCTGGGTTTCATCTCTTTCCCTTGAAGAGAATTTCTGTTGTAGGTTCACACTTTTCCTGATTGTCTCATCAAAATGGGGTGGACCTTTGTTCCTGTCCCTTGTGCTCTACTCTGAGTCTAGCCAAGTTGGTGAAGGAGCTCATGCTAGGGAGATGTGATATTCCTTCTTGTTAAAACAGAGGTATTGGATCTCAATGGAATGGTTTTGACAGGAGATATTTGGCCACCTTGCAACAGACAGACTGATGGTCCCTGGGTGGCACAAGTGGTTTACAATTGAGTACCAACTCAAAAGTTGATGATCCACAAAGATTACAGTCAAGAAACCCCTATGGACAAGTTCTACTCTGTAGCACGTGGGTTCCCATGACAGACTGGATGGGAGGGTGAGTGAAGAAGGATTTTCTGTGGGAGCTTTGTTCACACCACTGTGGGTGGGGATCCACCACTTACCACAGGGCTGACTCTGACCACTTTTTGTCTAATCAGGGCCCATTAGATTTTTAACAGATGCGGTTTTGGTTCTACCACCCTCCACATATGTAGGTCTTCATAGTAAGGAATGATCAGAAGGGTGCTCCCTCGCTTCTGACCTAATGTTACAAACCTACAGCCTACCCCCTAGTCCTCTCATTAAATCAGTGGACACTTGGCAGCAGCTCCTTCCACTTTCATTTGCAGACTGAAATTTCCTCTGCATGCACAAGGCTGACTGAGCTCATTGCCAAGGCTAATCAATAAATCATAGCCTAGGGCCACAGGACCCAAATGTAAAATGCAATGTCTGGCACCACTGGAGATAAAATGAATTACCTGTAATTTGGTAAGCAGGCCATCTTGATTCCCACTCTATTCTGGTGACTTTAGTGACTGATTTTTCTAAACTCAGTTGAAGTAGAAGGATGTTCAGGTTCAGGGTCTTGAGTGAAACAAAAGTGGCTGGACCAAGAGATAGATGATTGAACCATAGCACAGGCAGGTGAAGAGAAGAACCTTGGTTCCTGGTTTCTCGAGGACCTGAGTTGAGTTCCTCATTCTATTCCTTGCCCTGAGATGCTGGGAGATACTGATGACATTAAATTGATTCCAATTCACGTGTGTCAGAGTAAAAATGGGCTCCTTACATGTTTTTGATGAAGTTGGTGGTTCAAACTCACCAGCTGCTCCTTGAAAACCCGATACAGGGTCCCTATGAGTTGGAACCAACTCACTGGCATTTAACAACAACAATCAATCTCTTTGGAAGGAGCCCTGCTGACACTGTGGGTTAGGTGCTGCTCTGCTAACCACAAAGTTGGCAGTTCCAACACACCAGATTCTCCTTGGAAGAAGGATGAGGCTGTCTACTCCTATAAAGATTTATAACCCTGAAAACTTGAGGAGTGATTGGAGGTGTCCAACCTCTGGCCTTTTGGTTATGAGCGGAGCACTTTTACCACGTGAGCTCTTTGTTGTTGTGAAGTGCCATTGAGTCGGTTCCAACTCATTGTGATCTTGTATAGAGTTTTTGAGGAGTGGCTGGTGGATTTGAACCGCTATCTTAAGGTTAGCAGTCTCAGTGTCACACCAGGATTCCAGGAATCCTTGTTAGGGAAGATCTTTATCTTTGCTATCTCCTTCACTTGACAAATACAACAGGCACCGCCTACCTGTGCACGTCCCAGTGCTCAATGAGAAGACATGGACACACAGGAGACTCACTGTTCACCTTGAGCAAGCCCCTCCTAGGGGAGTGAGAGGCAGGCTGTTACACACAGCTAGGTGGGCTGTGCTTGGCCACGTAGCTGAATGCAGCCCTTGTTAGGTCACTGAGACTATCCCTGGCCCTGGGCAGGGGTGGCTGTGGTGGTTGTGTTCTGTCAAGCTGGTTTGACTCATAGTGACCCTGTATAGGGGTTTCAAGGCTATAAATATTTACGGGAGCAGAAAGCCTCATGTTTCTCCCTTGGAGAAGCTGGTGGATTCGTACTGCTGACTTTGAGGTTAGCAGCACAACACATAAACCACTAAACAGCCAGGGTAGTGTTGGCTGAAAACAAAATGCCCATTTTGTAATGCACAGAAAAGAACCAGGTGAACATACACATAGTTTTTTTCAATGGAAGTCTAGGATCCATAAAACTTCAGGGGTTAAAAGTAAGAGCAGTTCACATGTATCTATCATCCTCTGAACACACATCTAACCCACCATTTCATTGGCTGGAAGAATTACGTACTCCTTTGCTGTGAGTTAACCACATGGAATCAACAAACGCCACTAGCTTCTTATCTATAAAACCAAAACCTACTGCCATCACGTCGATTCCGACTCACACAGACCCTTGCAGGATGGCGGGGAATGGCTCTTTAGGGTTTCCAAAGCCACTCTTCAGCTCTGCCTTTGAAGGAAGAAAGACAGGAAACCATGAGGCAAGTGCAGAGGTGGTGGGTAGGCCAGGTATTAAAGACAGGGAGAACTTGCCAAAAGGACACTAAGCTTCATCCTGAGAGGGGCTAAGTGTCTGTCAACATTTCAGAAAGTAGGCTGGAGACATGTCCAGGGCTAGAAGCATTCCAGGTTAAGGAGACAATAAGTCATGACAGGTATGGGTTTCACTTCAATGTACAGAAAACCAAAATCCTCACCACTGGACCAATAAACACCATGATAAATGGAAAAAAGTTGTCAAAGACTTCATTTTGCTCAGATTAACCATCAACACTCATGGAAGCAACTGTAAAGAAATCAAATAATGTATTACATTAGGCAAATCTGCTTCACAAGACCTCTTTAAAGTGTTCAAGAGCAAAGATGTCAGTTTGAGGTCTAAGGTGTGCCTGACGCAAGCCACGGTATTTTTAAATAATCTCATATGCATGTGAAAGTTGGATAATGAATAAAGAAGACCATAGAAGATTTGATACATTTGAATTGTGCTGGAGGAGATTATTAACTATACCGTGGACTGCTAAAAGAGCAAACAAATCTGTGTTGGAAGAAGTACAGCTCCTTAGAAGCTTAGATAACCAGACTTTGTCTCTCATTCTTCGAACATATTATCAGGAGGGGCCAATCCCTGGAGAAGGACATCATGCTTGGTAAAGTGGAGGATCAGCAAAAAAGAGGAAGAATTCTCGATGAGATGGATTGGCACAATGGCAGCAGCCATGGGCTCAAGTGTAGTGATAATTGTGAGGTTGGCGCAGGACTGGGCAGTGTTTTGTTCTATTGTGTATAAGGTGGCTATGAGTGAGTGTCCCAATCCACAAGATAAGGGCTCGTACTCATCTTTGTTGTCCAGTGCTACTGTAACAGAAGGAGTCCTGGTGTGGCGTTATGGGTTAATGCTCTGGAATGCAAAGTCAGTTTGAACTGCAAGGTCGGTGGTTCAAGCTCACCAGCTGCTCCTTGGAAACCCTGTATGGGGTCACTATGGATTGGAACAGAATAGATGGCACTTAACAACAATAACAACACTATAACAGAAATACCACAAGTAGATGACTTTAACAAACACCTATTTATTCTCTCACAGTTTGTTGTTGTTAAGTGTTGTTGAGTTGCTTCTGACTCACAGAGACCCTGTATAGGGTTTCCAAGGAGCGGCTGGTGGGTTTGAACTGCTGCTTATTCTACAGCATCACACCAGGACTCACAGTTTAGGAGGGTAGAAGTCAGAATTCAAGGTACCAGCTCTAGGGGAGGCTTTCTGTCTTTGTCATCTCTGAGGGAAGGTCCTTGTCTCCTTTAAACATCTGTGAGTCTGGCATCCCTTGGTGATTTCCGTGTGTCCTGGCATCAGTCTTCCTCTGGGTCTAGAGTGTTCACAATTCAAGGACTCTGAATCTAAAGGAGATGCTTCACTCCCAAGTCTTTTTTCTTGTTGGTATGGAGGTTCCTCTGAATTTTGCTCACTTATTTAATCTCCTTTATATCTCAAAAGAGATCGACTCGAGACACAACCTAATCCTGTAGATTGTATCTTGCCTCATTAACATGTTGTTGTTGTTAATATGTTATTAACATGTTGTTGTTGTTATTATTGTATCTTGCCTCGTTAACATGTTGTTGTTGCCATAGAGTTGGTTCCGACCCATAGCAACCCTGCATAGGGTTTCCGAGGCTGTAAATCGTCATCTTTCTCCTGCAGAGCCACTGGTAGTTTCGAACTGCTGACCTTGTGGTTCACAGTCTGATTGGTAACCATTACGCTACCAGAGCTGCATATTAACATAACGCTCCATATTAACATTACGCTACCAGAGCTCCATATTAACATAACTGCTACTAATTCTAGGAGCCCTGGTGGGTTATCCACTGGGTTGCTAACCAAGTGGTTGGAACTCACTGGCTGCTCTTCAGAAGACAGATGGGGTGGTCTGCATCTGTGAAGATTTACAGAGATGTTTTGGAGCAGCTCTGCTTTATCCTAAAACAGGGGTGCTGTGAGTTGGAACTGACTTGATGCCAGTGGGTGGGTCACTAATCCTGCCTCATTAACATCACAAAGGTGGGAATTTACAACACATACAACACATAATAC